GTACAGACAATCTGATGCGCGGAGCTTCAGCGGAAGATCTCCTGGCACAGTGTCTGTCCAGCAGTCTGCTGGAGGAGAAGGAAGAGAACAAAAGGTGGGTCTGCCTCCCTCCTGTGCATGTGTGCCATTCATTCCACTTCGTGCAGGAGTGGGCAACTCCTGCTCGGGTAAGTCAAGACAGCCAGTGGTAGAGGAGCAGCTGGGCCAGCAAGGGCTATAATGATGGGACTGTTTTAAAAAAGAAAAGGAAGGAAGGAAGATGTTTATAAGTAAAAGCTTGGGACTAGAGAGATGGCTCAGAGGTTAAGAGCACTTGCTGCTTTTCCAGAGGACCCAGTTTGGTACCCACACCCACATCAGACAGCTCATAACCATCTGATACATCTGGCTTCTCTAAGCACTCATTTGTATTCACAAATGTGTACACACACACACACACACCTATACATAATTGTTTTTTTTCTTTTTTTTAATTGTTTTTATTGAGCTATATATTTTTCTCTACTCCCCTTTTCTCCCCTCCCCTTCTGCCCTCTTCCATGGTCCCCACACTCCCAATTTACTCAGGAGATTTTGTCTTTTTTTACTTCCCATGTAGATTAGATCCATGTATGTCTCTCTTAGGATCCTCATTATTGTCTAGGTTCTCTGGTCTAAGTGAACTATAGGCTGGTTTTTCTTTGCTTTATGTCTAAAAGCCACTTATGAGTGAGTACATATGATGTTTGTCTTTCTGGGTCTGGGTTACCTCACTCAATATGATGTTTTCTAGATCCAGCCATTTGCCTGCAAATTTCAAGCTGTTGTTATTTTTTTTCTGCTGTGTAGTACTCCATTGTGTAAATGTACCACATTTTCCTTATCCATTCTTCAGTCGAGGGGCATTTAGGTTGTTTCCAGGTTCTGGCTGTGACAAAGCTGCTATGAACATAGTTAAGCACATGTCCTTGTGGTACAATTGAGCATCTTTTGGGTTGCTCAATAGTGGTATTGCTGGGTCTTGAGATAGATTGCTTCCTAATTTTTTGAAAATTGTCATACTGATATCTAAAGGGGCTGTATCCACTAGGAATGGAGGACTGTTTCCTTTACCCCACATCCTGTCCAGCATAAGTTGTCGTCAGTGTTTTTGATCTTGGCCATTCTTAGAGGTGTAAGGTGAAATCTCGGAGTTGTTTGGATTTGTATTTCTCTCATGGCTAAGGATGTTGAGCATTTCCTTAAGTGTCTTTCAGCCATTTTAGATTCCTCTGTTGAGAGTTCTTTGTTTAAGTCTATATCTATTTTTTATTGGATTATTTGTTCATTTGATGACCAATTTATTGAGTTCTTTGTATATTTTAGAGATCAGACCTCTGTCTGATGTGGGGTTGGTGAAGATCTTTTCCCATTCTGTAGGCTGCTGTTTTGTCTTGTTGACTGTGTTGTTTGCTTTACAGAAGCTTCTCAGTTTCGGGAGGTCCCATTTATTAATGGTTGCTCTCAGTGTCTGTGCTACTGGGGTTATATTTAGGAAGTGCTCTTCTGTGCCTATGCATTCAAGTGTACTTCCCACTATCTCTTCTATGAGGTTTAGTGTGGTTGGTTTTATGTTGAGGTCTTTGATCTGTTTGGACTTGAGTTTTGTTCATGGCGATAGATAGGATCTATTTTCATTCTTCTACATGTTGATATCCAGTTATGCCAGCACCACTTGTTAAATATGCTTTCTTTTTTCCAATTTATAGTTTTTGCTTTTTTTGTCAAAAATCAGGTGTTCATAGGTGTGTAGATTGATGTCTGGGTCTTCGATTCTATGAGTCCTCCTATCTTTTTTTTTTAAATATTTATTTATTTACTTACTATGTATACAATATTCAGTCTGCTTGTATGCTTGCAGGCCAGAAGAGGACACCAGACCTCATTACAGATGGTTGTGAGCCACCATGTGGTTGCCGGGAATTGAACTCAGGACCTTTGGAAGAGCAGGCAATGCTCTTAACCTCTGAGCCATCTCTCCAGCCCCCCCTCCTATCTGTTTTTATGCCAATACTAGGCTGTTTTCAGTACTATAGCTCTGTAGTAGAGTTTGAAGTCAGGGATTGTGATGCCTCCAGAGGTTCTTTTATTGTACAGGATTATTTTGGCTATCCTGGGTTTTTTGCTTTTTCATGTGAAGTTGAGTACTGAAAGTCTGTGAAGAATTTTGCAGGGATTTTCCTGGGCATTATGTTGAATCTGTAGATTGCTTTTGGTAAGATTGCCGTTTTTACTACGTTAATTCTACCTACCTACCCAAGAGCACGGGAGATCTTTCCACTTTCTGGTGTCTTCTTCAATTTCTTTCTTCAAAGATTTAAAGTTCTTGTCCTACAGGTCTTCCGCTTGTTTGGTTAGAGTCACTCTGAGATATTTTAAGCTATTTGTGGCTATTGTGAAGGGTGATGTTTCTCTGATTTCTTTCTCAGCCCATTTATCTTCTGTGTAAAGGAGGGCTATTGATTTTTTTTTTTTTAGTTAATATTGTAACCTGCTTGTTTTTTATTTTTCAAGAAAGGGTTTCTTTGTGTAACTCTGGCTGTCCTAGCTTTGTAGACTAGGCTGGCCTCAAATTTACAGACCCGGGATTAAAGGCATGGGCCACCACTACCTGGCTCTAAAAGTATAAGCTCTTAAAAGATGGCCATGCTCTAGATAGAATGTTTCTACGGTTTATCATTTATCATCGACTTTGTTGTTTATTATTTTAAAAGTCTATGTTCAATTTTCTAGAGGAAAATATGTTTAGCTAAGGCTACTTAACTTCTACCATGACTGGTCACAGCCTTTGGCCCTTGGGCAGCCTGCGGCTTCAGTGGATCATTTCCTACTAGGTGGGAGGAGCTCCTCTGCGTAACTCAGCTTCCCTTCCTCTGTCCTGTCCTCTTCTGTCCTCACTGGATGGTCTTTTTACTGTGAGATAGAATTGGGAGATAGAAGTTGGTAAAGGTCGTCTTCCCCCAACCACTGCCTGCCCTCTCTCCCTAGTGGAGTATTGTGTGCCTGCTGTACCTCTCCCGCAGTTGCTGGCGCTGAGCACCCCATCTCTAGTCGCCGTCAACTTGCCCCTGGGTTGCAACTTCACTTCCAGCCTCCTCACAGCACCCAGCCCCTAGGGCTCCCTGAGACATTGCCCTTCCCTCCACTCGATCATGCACGTCAGCACACAATCCTGCAGACATACGGACACATCTTTCTGTGTGGCCTCAGCTCTCTCTCGCCACCTCTGCATGCTTCTCCTTTAATAGTAGAACTGTAAGTAAAGCCAGCAGTGTTAGTCATTGCTCGTCCCTTTTGCCTTTCAGCCTGCACACTTGAGCCTGGTCATGAGCCCTGTCCCTGTCAGTGATCGCATCCTCGCTTCTCATTCTTGTTTCTAGTCCCCTTCAAGGATTTTCCTGTTTTTCTCTAGCATCCAGATCTACTCTCTGGACTTCATCTCTGCCTCTTACATGCCTACTCACTCCTCCATAATTCCATCCAGTTTCAAGAGTATTTAAATACTATCAATCTTGTAATAAATCCAAAAATTCCACAAAGCTGTCCTCTGACCCCCACGTGGGCATCCATGTCCACATGTATACATGGGCACACAGAAGAGTCGGTGAAATAAACGTAAGATGAGTGGTAGTTAAAGTTTTGCTTTCCAGTGCTCTGATCTTTCTCATATTTTGAGATGTCCTCCTGTTTCAGGTTTGAAGAGCAACTCCAGCAGTGGGTATCTCAAGACTCACAGCCATTTGCAGAGTCAACTTGCCTTCCTCTCTACCTTCCTCAGACACTCATATCTTTCCCTGACACTATCAAAACTCAGACTGTGCTGAAAACACTGAAAACATCTACAACAAGGAGACCTCAGGTGAGAACGGGGGGCTTTTCACATGTACAGAATTAAAGACTGAGAGGATGTGCCAGCCTCAGGGGACCATCCCTTTAATTCCCGCACTCCAAGAGTGTGAGGCCAGCCTGGTCTACACAGTGAGTTCCAGGCAGTCAGGGCTACACAGAAAGCCTGGAACGCTGTGTTAGATTCGTCCTGTGATGCGTTAACACATGGAAGTTAGACCTTTAAACTTCACATGTCAATGTTACTGAGTTCCTACCTGTGAAATACATGGAGAGGAGACCTAAACACAGTAAAACACTGACTAGGGGCTAGGAATGTAGTCAGTTGGTAGAGTGCTTACCTGGCATGTAGAAAGCCTGGGGTGCGTTCCCTAGCACTGAGTAAACTGTGCACCGAAAATCCTAGAGTTAAAGGCAGGCGGAGCAGAAGTTCAAGGTCATCCTTAGCCACAGAGCTCACTGAAGGAAAGAACAGAGCAAACCCATACCTGTGCCGATGTGCATTTAAACAGAGTAACGATGGCATTTTCTTAGCTGCTTTTTACAGCTGATAAGATACCATGACCAAAAGTAACTTGGGAAGGAAAGGGCTTGTTTCACTCCACATGACAGTTCATCAGCAGAGGCAGTCAGGGAAGGAACCTAGAGGTGGGAACTAATGCAGATTCCGTGTATGAATTTGTCACCAGCTTGCTTCTCCTGGTTTGTTCAGCTTCTTGCTTATAGCACCCAGGACTACCAGCCCAGGGATGGCACTCACAGTGAGCTGGACCCTCCCCCATCAATCATGAAAATGCGATGGAGGTGTTTTCTCAGTTTGGAGGAGGTGCCTACCTCCACAGTTGAATAGATATGTTAAGGTGATGTAAAACTAGCCAGCATGATTGGCTGTTTGTCAGCTTCACACAGACACACCACTGTCCAATCAGGACCGCTCCTCTTTGATTTTTCTTCACCCAAGATCACATGTTAATATGAATATCATAGTATAAAACATTTCAACTTTTAAAAGTCTCACCGTCTTTAACAATTTAAACACTTTCCATGTGGTGGTACACGCCTTTAATCCAGCACTCAGGAGGCAGAGGCAGGCAGAGAAACCTTGTCTTGAAAAAACCAAAACCAAACCAACCAAAAACATTTAAATATTTTTATACACTTTAAAAGTTCTATCCCTTTAAAACATCTAAAGACTCCCTAAAATATTCATAATCTCTGTAAAATAGCCAAAGTTTATGTAAATATCCAGTCTCTTTAAAATTCCAAAGTCTCTTTGAAAGTTAAAAGTCTCTCAACTATGGATACTTGTAAAGTAAGAAATGAGTTACACATATTCTTATTCCGAGAAGGAAGAATAAGGGCACAGTCATAATCGTCAGGTGAACCCAGAGTCCGACAGCGTAAAGCTTAGTGTCAGGCTTCTGGCATCCACTCACGATCTTCTGGGCTCCGTGGACATGCGTGGGCAGCTGTGTGCAGCACATGCAGCTGGTCTCCTAGGCTCAGACTGGTTCCACTCCACAGCTGCCGCTTTCCCGGTGGTCATCTCCACTGCAGCTGGTCTGCTCCTTCACCAGTAACTTCCTTTTCTTGGGCTCTCTTCAGGGACTCTAACCCTTTCACATTCACCAGGACCTGCTTAATCCTGGGCTTCTGCTGTGGTTGAGAGCACCAGCGGCCTGGCCTGGCCTTCACTGTGCCAAGTCTCAGCTGCTTGTCATGATCCCTTCATACTTTCAATCCAGTACGAGCTGGGAGTCTTACACTGCTAGGTTCAGCTCCCTCTGGACCACAGCTTCTGTGTGCTGAGCCTGAGGAAACACTTCACAGATTTTATCTCAGTGATGCTGGTCTCTTCTTAATCACAGCTGGCTCTTCAGTCCCAGCTGACAGCATCCATTGTTCCAGCAAAGCGAAGCTTCACTGTATCATACAAACAACCCTAATAGAGAACTTGAGGGACTCACAAACTTCCTCCAACTTCACAAGCCATCTTCATCTGCACTACTCCCAGCATTGTCTGCTAAGTTCCCACAGCAATTCATTAAACTTTGAGCACTAAAAGGTTTTTCTAGTCCAAAGTTCCAAAGTATTTCTACAATCCTCCAAAAATACAAGGTCAGGCCTGTCACAGCGATACCCCAAGGCCTGGTAACTAATTTCTTAATTGGGATTTCTGTTGCTGTGATAAACACCATGACCATAAGCAGCTTGGGGAGGAAACGGTTTATTTCCTCTTCACTTTGGATGTAGTCTGCATCCAAAGAAATAACTGCAGGAACTCAAACACGGCAGGAACCTTGAGGCAGGAGCTGATAGAAAGGCTATGGAGGGAGCAAGCTTCCATGGCTCGCTCAGCCTGCTTTTTTATAGAACCCAGGGTGACCCCATCCACAATGACTTGGGTCCTCCCATATAAGCCACTAAATAAGAAAATGTCCTACAGTCTTGCCCACAGGCCAGTCTTGAAGGGGCATTTTCTCAGTTGAGTTTCCCTCTTCCATAATGACACTAATTTAAAACTAACCAGCACAGATAGGAAGAGTAACTCCTGTCTGTAGGACTGCGTTACTATCTGAACCATGGCACTGACCAGACTCAATCCTGGCCTTAACTTTCCCTAAGCAAACACAGTAAATAAAGAAGATAAAGCTTACAGAAATCAGCTTCACCCGATAATAGTTGCTTTTCAAAATCAGATCTTCCAGGCTCCAAAGCTTCTCCATGTTTTTCTTGGGGGCTAAGGAAGCAAATACAATTTAACTGAAGACACATGTGCAGGACAGGTGAGAAGGTATTTCTGGGGTGGTTTAAGAGCCCTCAATAAGAGGAAGATAAATTAAGACAACACACTGTTCCCACTAATAAATCTGATTAATACTTTAAAATTGTCTTCTCTTTGACTCACTGTGAGACATAGAGGTGTACACTTGTAACCCCAGCATTTTGGAGATGAAAGCAGGAAAATCATGAGTTCAAGGCCAGTCACTACTACGTAGCAAGTTTGAGGCTGTTCTGAACTATTCAAGCCTTTCTCACCCTACTCCACACTACCCTCCAGAGCTACTTAGGCTCTTTGACTAATTCTCTCCAAAGAAGTTGCCAGATAAAATTTAATGTACAAAAGTTTTCCCTGTGGTATTAGATGTGTGTCTAGTCAACAAATATCCCAAGGTGGGAGCCAGATTAAGTAATCCCAGTCCATAGAATACTATATGTGTAGTAGATGAAGCTGGAAAATGTAAGGTAGATACCAAGGGAGGGTTCTGTGGAGTCCAAGAGACTCCAAATGATGTAAACATGAATCAGGTATAAAGCCTTCACAGATGACTACTTTTGGCTTCTTTCTTATTCAACTAGAATGCAGGGGCAGAAGAGCAATTGCAGTTGTCAGAGATATCAGACATGTCGCTAACCGGAAGGCTGAAGCACCTGGAAAGGCTGATTCGAAGTTCAAGGGAAGAAGACGTTGCCTCTGAGCTCCACCTGTCTGCACTGCTGGACATGGTGGACATTTGAACAGTCTGACACGAGAAGTGTTGCTTTCTTTGTAATGGTTTCGTTTTTAACCAAATTATGCTGTGCTCAGATGCTTGGTGTCCTGTCGGAAATGAGATTATCAATTATGCAAATAAACTATTTGAGTCATCTGAGATCCTTCTTAGTTTTTGAATAAAAGGCAGTGTGATGTCTTTAATAGTATTTGTGCTGTAACCTTAGACTGGCACTCCCCAGAAAATCCTCTGAGGAAGTTTTTATGAGTGTCTGGTTTTCTGTGCATATACATTTTGAGAATTTCATGTATAAGTAGCTGTATTTACATCATTTCAACCCCTCCCTCTACCTGCATGTTCTGGAACTCCTGACCCACTCTACTTTAATGGTTGTTATCTACTGAGTCTGTATAATGTTGCTGATATGTATATGTGTTTAGGGCTGACCATTTGGAATTGGAGAACCTATTACAGGTCTCCTCCCTGAAGAAACTGATCCTCCCTTGGTAATCCATTGACTACTTGTCCTGTTCGAATAGATGATTAATTCTCTTAGGAAAGTCTCTGACCCTGGTGTTCTAGACATCAGAAATGCAGGGACAAGGTCAACTCTGCTCATCAGGAGAGCCAGCAGACCTATGCATACATACATGCATACATACATACAATACTTACATATACACATACATGTTGTTGTGGTTTGAAAGAAAATGGCCCCCAGAGGGATTGGCCACTCTTTGGAGGTTTGGCTTTGTAGGAGTAGGTATGGCTTTGTTGGAAGGAGTGTGCCACTGTGGGGGTGGGCTTTGAGGTCTCTATATGTTCAAGTCATGCCCAGTGTCTTAGATTACTTCCTGTTACCTGAAAGGTGTAGAATTTTCAGCTCCTCCAGAATCATGTCTGCTTGCACACCACCATGTCCTGATATGATAATAAATCTCTAAACTGAAAGCTATAGTGGTATGTTATTTGTGTTTTAATAAATAAAGCTTGCCTGAAGATTAGAGGGCAAAGCAGCCATACTAGTCAGCCATACAAGCCAGGCTGTGGTGACACACACTTTTAATCCCAGGACTCGGGAGACAAGACAGATGGATCTCTCTGAGTTCAAGGCCATCCTGGGATACACAAGATCGAATCTGTCTAAAAGAAAAACAGCGCACACAAAGGTGATCCCAGCACTTGGGATCACATGCCTTTAATCCCAGCATTAGGGAGGTGGAGACAGGAATGATATGGTTGGGTGGAGAGAGGAACTCTGTGGAGTGTAGCTCGAGGACTTGTCGAGACAGAATCTCGCCCCTTCAGTCTGAAGATTTGGTAGTGGATGGCTGCTTTGCTTTTCTAATCTTCAGGTTGAACCCCAATGTCTTTGTCTCTGAGTTTTTATTATTCATGCTACAGAAAGCTAGCCCCATTTTCCTTTCTAAGAGCTGCTGCGGCCTTGGTGTCTTCACCACAGTAAAACCCCTAACTAAGACACGTACATACAAACATATAAACATATATACACTTGGAAGATGTGTATGGGCACATACATATGTAATGTGACTAGATGGTTTTGAGGGTGCAGCATACCTGAGAAAGCATGACGAAAGCCTAGAGGCACTAGCTGGTTGTGTGGCCAAATGAACAGGCCAGCAGGCTCAGAATATATGCAGAGGGCCATGGGAATCAGTTGTGGAAGAACATTAGGCAGAAGTGACCTGGTCCTGTAAAAATAGCATGTGGAAGTCAGGCGGTGGTGGCACACGCCTTTAATCCCAGCACTCAGGAGGCAGAGGCAGGTGGATCTCCAAGTTCGAGGCCAGCCTAGTCAACAGAGCTAGTTCTTGGGAAGCCAGAGCTGTTACACCGAGAAACCCTGTCTCTAAAAAAACAAACAAAAAGCATGTGGAAGGGATGGCTTGGCAGTTAAGAACACTTGTGAGAGGAGATTTTTTTTTTTTTAAAGGAACAGTTATTGCAGAAGACTGGTTTTTGGTTTCCAGCACCACATGGTGGCTTACAACCATCCAGAACTCCAGTTCCAGGAGATCTGACACCCTCCGTTGACCCCTGCAGGTACCATGCATATGGTACACTACATGGGTGCAAGACACCACCCATTCACGTAAATAAATAAAATGGCATTTTTCAAGGAAGGGAAGGAAGTATTAATAAACTTGATGTTCACCTTTCTTAAACTGTACACTAAGCATTTCCAGGTTATCATCCTACAGCCCCTAATATTGCATTCAAGAAGAGTGTAGCATCTCTGGTTCTCTTAAACCTCTGACAGATCATGACCCTGCCACCACACCTGGTTCTTGTTTCATTCACTGAGCACAAAAGCACTAAGAAAGCCTATCTCACCATCAAAACCATCAGCAAGTCTCTCTCTTCCCCAAGCAAACACTACATCTTTAGCCTTTAAAACATTTTTATTGTATGTATCTTAATGGAAACTTTACATTTTGTCTGCACATGTGGGCAAGTGTGTGCTACAGTGTATATGTGAAGGTCAAGTTGTCCTTCCATGTAAGTGTGGTAGCACATCATAGGACAATTTCCAGGGTCAGTTCTCTTCTTCCACCGTATGGGATCTGAACTCCCACCATCAGACTTGGAGACAAGCACCTTTACCCACTGAGCCATCTGGTGGGCACAAATAGATCTGTGTCTGCACGTGTGTGCGTGCACTCGTGGATGTGAAGGGCTCAGAAGACGACTTTTCAGAGCCAGTTCTCATCTTCCATCCTTGTTGAGGCAGGGGCTCTCATCTGTGGGGTTGTACTGTATATCCCAGGCTAGCTGACCCTTGAGTTTCCAGCCAATTCTTCATTTTATTTCACTTTATGTGTTTTGTCTGCATGTATGCCTATGTACCATATGCATATCTAGTGCCCAAAGAGGCCAGAAGAAGGTGTGGGATCCCCTGGAACTGGAATTATATATGGTTACAAGCCACCATGGGGTGTTGGGACTCACACCCAGGTTCTCTGGAAAGGCCACTAGTGTTCCTAATCTCTCCAGTCCCTTCCAGAAAGTTCTCTCTATCTCCAATCTCTGGATAGGGGTGCCAGGATTACAGATGCACACCACTGCTTCCTGCCTCGTGGGGGTTTTAGGGATCACACTCAGGTTGTAATTTTGTGTGTCAAGTGCTTTTACCTGCTGAGCCATCTCACCAGATTCCCCTGCTTCACCGAGTTTATTAATAAAGACTTGCTGTTATTTTTTAAATGTTTATTTATTGTGTGTTATTGTCCTATTGCTGTAATATGGCACCATGACACAGGTAACTTATAAAAGAAATCATTTATTTGGAGTTTTTAGAGGGATGGAATTCACGACATCATAGCAGGGAACATAGCAGCAAGCGGTAAGTTTATACCTCACCTCCAGTGTTCCACCTCCTCCAAGGCCACACCTCCTAATCCTTCCCAAACAGTTCCACCAACAGGGGACCAATTATTTAAATGCACATCAGGGGAAACACTGTTTTCTCCTTCCATTTGGGTTTTGAATTTAGCTAAGGCTTTTATCATCCACGTAGACCATGAAACCCAATATGGACAAGTTCAACGGAACTGTCCTATACAGGCTTGCCATGCATGCTTCAGCATTGCCAGGGCATAAATTTCATTTCATTCAAAAGGCTTTTATGGTTGGTGGCTGCCACGGACCGGCTCAGGGGAGCCACTCAGACCGTGGGGAATCAGGGCGAAGGCACAGGAGAAATCAGGATACGGCGAGGAAATTGACAGACAGACCATTCTCAATGTATTTGAGACATGCTGCTGCAACTTTATTCTTACAGTGTGAGGTTTTTATATCTTTACAAACAAAGAACTTGGTAAAGGCATACATCATCAGATTATAAAATAGAAAAGATCAGCACAAAACAGTTTTACAAAGAGAATCTTTGAAGATGCTTTGGCATGGGTACAAGGACTTTTGCTCCCTCGCATTTTGTAAAGTCAGCCTTTTTTCTTGTTTTTAGAGAGACCACTGTTCTTGAGTTAGGCCATCTTTATCAGCTTACACCAGGTGGCCGGCTGGTCTGAGCTAGGTGACCTTGTGCTCAGAATATCCTGGGTGGAAGAGAGGAAGGCCATTATCTTCCTGGGAAAACTTTCTGCTAGGAAATTTTAAAGACATGATCTCAACTCTCCTCCCTGATGCTCAGGTGTTGTTATCAGTCTAGGTTTTCTGGCCATAAGGAAGGCTGCATAGGCCTCCTGTTGAATTGCACGTAAATGTCTATTACTGTTTTCCTGTAGAAGGTTTCTAAGGTTTTTCCTAGTAAAATTAACTCCTTTTGTTCCACATCATCAAGGAATTATCCTAATGATGACCCTGCCAATTCCCAGAACTGGCTACTTCTTTTAAGGCTTTAATGAATGATGGGGCAAAATTCAAAAATGTCCTCAGCAGTCTTGTTTGTATCTGCAACTGCCTGGAATAGTCTGATCTGTTAGCAATATGCAAGGATCATAAAGAACACACAGACAAGGGAAAAGACACACATTATGGCTCCAAGGACAGCAAAGTCGAGTCAGTACAAATGGCGACTCAGGTGGCATCACACCACAACTGATTGCCAAGGGACCGCCTGGAACACACTGCTCCGAGAAGCACAGATCCCAATCCTCTGGCAACACCTGCCTGCCCAGTCAACATTTCTGCTATACTGGTGTGACAGACGTGGATGTAGCAGGTGGCAAGCAGTTCTATCTGTTGAGCCATCCTGTAGGCTCCTTAATGTCACCCTTTCACCTTGGTTTAATCATGACATTATTTTCCTACAATAAAAGACTCATATCTTCCCTATAGCATACAAACATATATACATATATTTTCTTTATTATTTGCCTCCTTGAACAGTTTAATGTTGGCTAAATTCAACGTTCAGTAGAGCTATGTTTGCTGCTAGTTGCTGAATCCATACTGATTTATTACTTTATTTCATTTTGGTACAATTTTGGCTTTCCCTACCTTGTTTTCTCTGGTTTTCTGAGCTCTTGTTGCTACTACACAAACTCTCAGTCCATTGAACACAGCCATGTTTACAAGGTAGTTCTAGTTCCTCTTCTGCTTGAAGATGCCTTCTGGGAACCCTGTCTCTCTAAAATGACTTGAACGCTTCCTGGGTTCTGAATAATACCTTTCTCTTCCCTGGTCTGTTTTCTCAGTTTATGAAACTCATGCTTTAGTAGCCTTCTGAGCTTTTACATCTAAATGTTTTTTATTTCTTTATTTTTATATCTTTAGTTCTTTACATTTGATTCAACATTTCAGTGAGAATAACGTTTTAGATGGTAAATCATTACCTTGTACCCTTGTCTGTTGTTATTACTGTGTGTGCTGTGTATGACGTTTGGGGCATGCATGGCGGTCAGGGGACAGCTTTGTGCAGCTGATCCTCTCCTCTATCCAAGGTTGCACAGCAAGGGCCGTTACTCACTGAGCCATTTTGCAGGCCCTTTCTTGAAATTGTTATGGTCACTTTTGGGGGGTGGAGTGGGTAGGCTTGGAGAAGTCAGTGTGAGGGGTGAATATGATCAAAATATAGTGTATACACTAGAAATTAAAATTTAAAATATTGTATTATGCAACTTCTGTCCATAACATACTAGCTTAAAAGTGAGGCATCGCCTGAGCAGCTCCTCCTTCACATCCCTCGTGTACTTTAGTCAGGTAACGGCTGAGGTGCAGACGTCTGCTGCCGCACTGGGCTTCACGCCCACGCATGGGCAGACGTGTTCTCACATTGTTTTCTTCTGCACATGTGGACCATGGAGCGCTGAGTCAGTGAGCATGGTCTGCCTGCGGATGGGCTGCTCTAGCTTTCTACTAGATCCCAGTTACCAACGCTTGTAGGGCTTTCTTCTTTCTTCTTTTCGTCTATGTGCTCATGTGGGTAACATTGGGGTCCTTTTTTTTTTTTTTTTTGCGAGAGGGTTTCTTCTCGCTGAACCCAGTGCTTGTGCTTGCCAGTTCTTTCAGGCTGGCTGGCAAATGGGCTTGAGAGTTTTGTTTCTGCCCCTCTAGCACTGGGTTGACAGAGCTGTGCCACTCTGCCTGGCTTTCATACGAATGCGAGGGATCCAAATTCTACTGCTTGGGAGCCAAGTACTTTACTGACTGAGCTATCTCATCAGCCCACTCCCTTCCCTTCCTCTCTACCCTCCTTCTCTCTCTTCTATGCCCCCTCTCTCCTCCCACTCTCTCAGGTGGTCCTTCTATGTAGCTCCGGCTGGCCAAAATTACAATTCTCCTGCCTCAGCCTCTGAAGTGCTGGGATTATAGTCATGTGCCACCATGCCCAATGTCTTACAGACTACTCTTGTCTCAGGCTCTCTGTTGGAATGTGAGAGGCAGGACCAGTTCCCCTCCAAGTGTAGACTTTTAATCTCCCTGCTTTTGGTGACCGCTGCTACACTTCATGCCCAGCTCTGATCTGCCCTTTACTTGGTCGTTCAGGCTTCCACCCAGGCGGGGAGATGACACTGTAATAATGTTCCTTTGAGTTTTCCACCACTCCTCCCAGTCTCTGCACTTCAGGGTTCATTGGCAAGATCTGTCGCTTTCCTGTTGACTTTACACACACACAATATATATATATACACACACACACACATACACACACACATACATACACACATGTGGCTTGCTGAATCAGTCACTCCTCCATCCATTTCCAGCCTTTATAATTTTCCTGTGTCTTAAACTCTTTTCTAAAGTTGAGAACATCACACATGCATATTCTGTGTTTCATTTAAACCCATCTAACTCTTTTCCTATCTCCCCTGTTTCTTTCCACTTTTGTTGTCGGTTTTTATGTCTTTTGACCAGTGTATGGACAGGAAATAGAGGACAGCTCTACATCCAGCCTGGTGTTTTTAAACTAGAAATTTATTTCCCCGTCACTAGACTTCTCTTGTCTCCTAAGATAGCAGCTCAGTCACTACTTATTTTCCCACAGCCAGTTAACAATTTCCCCCAGCTTCATCTTATAATCCCTTCAGAACTTCAATACAATCAGGTCTTCACGTGTTTCTTGACCCGTTCACTTAGTTCTCTTCCTCGACAGACCAGGAAAGATTGGTACCTCAGAGCTCACCCTAGGGCGTCTCAAGTGGGTTTCTAGTTGATCTTAGCCCATCTCATGATTCCAAATGCCACCTGATCAGATTCCTCTCTCTGGACTTGTCTCTGCTGAATGACAGTCAACGTAACATTTCCACTTGGATGGCTAATATCCATCATACCATATCCCCAGTGCAAGCTGAAATTTCCAAGCAAGCCTTCCCTCTTTTCATAAACAACAATGGCTCCTCCGATCTTTTCTTACTTCTATGCCTAGCTTAGGCCTTTCCCCTTGGCCTATCTTATAACCCTTGGGCTCCAGGATCTTTGCCAGCCAAAGCTCTCCCAGTCTTCATATGGCTAAGGTATATTGCCTTCCTTGTCAAGGGAAGCTCACTCTATACCTAGCTGTCCTGGTTCCAAACTTGATAGTCTTATGCATTTAGTTTATAGAATAAGATAAAAGTGGTACAAGCTGAGACAAACATTTCTTTCTGATGATCGTCTCTAGACATTTATCTGTGTAAATTTGCAGACGGACTTGATGTTTTTCTTTCTTAGATATTTAAAAGTTTGACATTTTATTCATGTCTAGTCCAGCAGTGCATGCATTGCCTACATGTCTCGTGCCTGAAGTCAGAAGAGGGTATCAGGAGTTATGCACGGTTGTGAGCTGCCATGTGGGTGCTAGAAACCAATTCCAGGTCCTCTTCAAGAGCAGCAAGCACTGTTAACCACTGGACCCTCTCTCCAGTCCCCACACCAACCGCCTGTGGCAAGGCTGTCATTATGATTCCATTATGATCTTGTATCTTTAGAAGTTTCTAAGTTGGGCTAGGATGAAGTTAGTGCTCCTGACTAGCCATCTGAAACTCCAAGATTCCATCGTGGGAAGGTGTGTGGGTGTTCTCTCTCTCCAACGTCTTCCTCTGACTTGTGGTACATGGCCTCTTCAAGTTTCACAAGGGCAGCGGTTAGAGGGCTGGGTGCACGAGGCTATCTGATTTGGGTACCTGTAACAAGGTTTGCACTCCGTAGGGCAGATGAAGCCTTAATGAGCCGCGGTGGGTTCTTGGCGCTCTATCTTCAGTACTCTGGTTGTCCCTGAACGCCCGCAATGCTTCCCAAGTCGCCTCCATTTCTACATTGTTCCTTACTGTTAGTTTCTGCCTTATACCACAGGCTTTCCTGCTTTCTTCCCTATGTTCAAACATAATCAAAGCCTTCCCCTCTGGCCCTTTAGCTGTTGGGATCCCAAGCCCCAGTACCCTGAGTTCTGTGGCTAAGAAGGTGGAGCTCCCCGCCCCCCCCCCCTGCCCGCTGCTGGCAGCTAGGAAGTCAAGGCTGCCTTGCCAGCCTTGACCATGCCTTTCACCTAGTCCCTATCAGAAGCTGTGCCTAGTTTACAAGAACACGGCGGCCCTGGCCCTCTTCCCAACCACGTCATCTCAGTTTACTCCGTAGACTCAAAGCCCCTGCCCCATGCTGGTCCCATCCTCTGTCGTGGCGCCTTGGCTTCCTGCGTGGCCCCTGTTGAACACCGATCAACGCTAGTTTATTCCGCTCTCACCTCAGGCCATTCTAGCCTCCTCGGTGCTTCTCCTGAAGCTCCCGTGGCTTCCGCGGCCTCTTTCTTGCAGGTGTCGGCGGGGCCATTCTTCACCCACCCTGCAGAACTCCACCTCTGAACGTCCAGGGCAAGTCGCTTAAGGCCACGCCCCTCCCATAGGTCCCGCCTCCTAGATCTCCCCGCCCCCTCGGGCCCCGCCTCCTGGGAGCCTGGCGGCGTGGGGCGGCAGGCGCTCAGCCACTGCGGTTGCGGTGCGGCTGTCGTGCTCACCTTCGTGATGCTCTGATTGGCCGCGCTAGCATCGGCCCACCCAGCTATTCCGGTCGGCCCAGGCTCGCGCCTGCGCAGTGCGCGAAGTTGTCATTCAGGTAAGGTGCTGGCAAGCCGGTGGCAGAGAGTGCGGTGCTGTCATGACAGAGGGAACGTGAGTCCCGGACCCTGGGCCTCCCGCGGGTGCTGCGAGGAACGCGGCAGGGCGGTGGCAGGGAAGGTGCCCGGGCAGCAGCAGGGTGGCGTGGCGGGTGGCTCTCCTCGCCTGGGTTGCAGACAGCACCACCTGGGTGGAGCCTAACGACCGCTGCTTATTGTCGCTGGCCCGCTCAGGTGTCTGCGGCGGCGAGGGGGACCCTATAAAACTGAGCCGGCCACTGACCTTACCCGCTGGCGGCTCCGCAACGAACTGGGTCGGCAGACATGGACGTACTTCCAAGCGGAGGACGACCCTGGTCGAGAACAGACTGGGTTGGAGGCCCACTCTTTGGGACTGGACACAGTAAGTGATGTGATTCGGATTATTTTATGATTTCCGCCATTATCCTCAGGCGCCATCTCACCCCAATCCTGGAAGTGACCACAGACCAGCCTCTGCCTTGTCTTTCCTGCGCCAGAGCCCTGAAACAGGAGAGAGCCATGTTCAAAAAGCAGGCAGCTCTCCAGTAAATAAAGTATATGTGAGTGTAGTGTAACACAAAGAAAAGCTAAATATGCTAAATATAAAGGGATGGGGAAGGACGAAGTGCAGATAATGAACTCAGTTTACGAAAGAAGGTGTAAAGCCAGCTGGTTTTGCTGTTTTTGTTCTGGGTGGCGGATTAATGCATAAAATGCATTGGGATTGAGAGTATAAAATTTAAGATCGAGCTTCACGGCTTCTTTTCAAATGCCAAGTTTGTTAGAATAGACTTTGTGTGTGACTCGTTTTGGTGTGTGATGTTTTTATTTATTTGCAATAATGAAGCTTACAGTTTTTATAGAGCGGACATGGGGCATTTCTGTAATCCCAGCTACTCAGGAGACTGTGGCAGGATCTGTGTTTGAGATATGCCTTGGTAACTTTGACTTTGTCTCAAAGCAAAGAAGCTGGGTGTGGCTTTAACCAGTGCTCAGGAGGCAGAGGCAGGTGGGTCTCTGTGACCTGGAGGCCAGTCTGGTCTACAAACCAAGTTCTGGGTCAGGCCTGGCTACCCCATCTCAAAACAGCAGCAAACAAGCAAAGCAAAAGAAGTGATGAGCAGCTCAGTGAATGTTTACCTAAGCTCAATCTCCAAGATAGAAACAACAACAACGAAAAGTGTGGTGACCTGGGGACCATGCCCTCTTGTAGAGACATGATTGAAGCAGCCATGTTGCTTCAATCCCTTGATCCCAGAGACCGGTGGAAGAAGTTGTCCTAATTTGATTTTATTTTCAGCACTCTACTTTGATAAAATCTTTGATTTGTAAGAGAATTACAAAGATGGGTGTGATTTTGTTCATATTTACTCTTTGGTTTAATCTTAATAAAAGCTTCTCCGTCAATACAAGAAACTTCAATCAAACCAGATTAGACCAAATTAAAATGTACGTGTTTAGTAAATGCGGCACTCTTGGGTGGACCTAGATAGCATGGCGGGGAGAAAAGCTCAGCAAACCTAAACCACTGCATGAACTTAAATAGCCTGTGAGAGTGGTCCTGACCCTCTCCAGGGAAGGGGTCAGCGCTTGGCATGCTGGGAGTTGGAGTTCAGCCTGGGGCAACTCCCAGACCAAGGGCTTCCAATCTACAAGGTGAAGTACTTGGACCTTACCTTGTTGTGTGTGTCCACATAGTATGAAACTCAATCAGTCATAGAACAGTTAGCTAACATGCTTCTTTTCTTTTCTCTTCTCGTCTCGTCTCGTCTCGTCTCGTCTCGTCTCGTCTCGTCTCGTCTCGTC